GCCTCCTGGTGGCCAACCAGCCTCTCTGCGCCTTGCTTGGAGTCGGAACCCTGTCCAGGGTCCTCCACCTCTCCAGAGCCGACTCAGAGGGCCCCTCGCTGTTGGAGTCTGGTGGCAGCTCCAACGGCTCCTGCTGGGCCCCAACACAAAACAGAGATGGCAAGACACCCTGCGCCCTGGAGATGCAGCTGATTGTGCAAAGCGGTGTTCAATGATCCAAAAAATGAATCCTGCCTCTGTGGGGATATGCTAGGAAGGAGGAGGAGAACAATAACAACAATACAGTACAAAATAGATACTTACAACATATATTGTCTGATTCTGCAGATCAGGTGTCAAAGCTGCCTTTTTAAATAAACGTATGAAATCATTGAAGGTGTTGCAGGATACAAAGGAAGGATCTTCTTCTTTGATGAAGAGGCACCGCAACTGTCTCAATATTTCTTCCAGAAGTAACCTTGAAGTAAAACATTCGGCACAATTCACAAACACATGAGGAATCTGAAAAGAACGAGGACGAAGAGAGGTTTCATTCTGCTTATATGTTATCACAAGGGAGCAAACCTAACTTGGACTGTTTACGAAGTAACAAAATGATAACATTATTTGCAAAGCAATGTCAAACACCTGTTTAACTCACTACTTACAGCTGATTTGCAAAAATCACTAAGACAACCAGGATCAGAAGTGAGGGCTGCACAGTAATGCCATCCTGAGAGCACTGCATATAATCATGAATATGTCCATCAGCGTATAAGCCAACCCTAGAAATTTCGACCGAAATACCATGAAAAATGTGTCATGTATAATTAAGCTGACATCTGAATTTTATGACATCTGAATTTTAAACCACAGTGACAGGTGGGAAATGCAAATTGTTACCTCATCATTTATAAGACCATGCAATTTTAAGCCTGTGACAGGCTTAAAAAAAACCTAACTTCTGGTCCGCAATTTTTTGGCGTGTACTTTGGAACCTAAAATTCTCAGCTTATCTCCAAATATATACAGTAAGTCCCATTCAAATTAACAAGTCTTACTTTTGAGCACAGCTCTCTCCCCTGCTTTTAAATGGATTTATTTCATTGCTAAGTACTTACTGATTGGGATTGATATATAGCGATCAATATATAGCAAAATATATTTTACTTTATAAAAAGTGAAAAAGTCCCTGCGGATTTTACTCCGCTAGTTGTTGCTGACTCTAGGGCGCGCTGCTCATCTCCGTTTCAAGGCCATTGAGTCAATACTATATGGACATTCCCACGGTCATGTGATTATCATGACATCACAGAGCGCTGTTAGCTTCCCACCAAAGTGGTACCTGTTTATCTACTCGCATTTGCATGCTTTCAAACTGCTAGGCTGGCAGGCGAGCTGGGGCGACGACGGGAGTTCACTCCGTTGCGTGGTTCCAGGGCCTCAAACCTCAGCGTCTTAACTGCTGAGCAACCATGCTACCCTATATGTGTGTGTGTGTGTGTGTGTGTGTGTGTGTGTGTGTGTTTAATGTATATATACATTAAA